GTGACAAAAAATATTCAAATATAATCAGTTTCTGCCTTTTATTTAGTAAATTCAGTTCAATCTTTTTTTTCTCATTTCATCCTCGTTTCTTTCATTCATCACTTCATACATAACGTTCCGTTACAATTTGGTGGAGATGCTGAGTACTGTCTAATCCATATCCTCATCAATCATTCATCATCATCATTCGTTTATTCACGGACTCATTCATTCGTCGTTATCTGTTCATAAACATGCAACACCTACGGCGTTCATCAGCATCCTCATTCGTGCCAGATCATTCAATTCCTCTCAGTATCATCAGTGGCGACTCGAAAGACTCTGAGTACGAAGCCTTCATGTCAATTATTAAACAACAGCGAGAAATAATCCAGCATAATCAGAATCAGATCGATAACCTTCAACGACAGGTGACTGAAATGCGTTCATTCATGCGAGCCGGTTCATCAGCAGCAGCCGTGGAGCGTCCTGTTGACTCACCATTACCACCGTTAATCAGTTCAGACCTAAATATCACAACAATAACATCACCGCTAATTGGAGCTGGCTCAACAATTGCGAGACATTTAAAGCCAGCTGATTTTCCTACATTCACTGGGAAAGAAAGCGAAGATATCGATGAATGGATCGCACAAGTATCCGCCATAAAAGAGTACAGTGCCACGAACGATTCCGAAATCCTCACAGTCCTTCCACTGGTCCTGCGAGATACTGCATTAAGATGGTTTACAAATTTAGGCGAGACAAGACGCACTACTCTTAGATCATGGGGAATTTGGCAGCACGCCTTACGACAAGCGTTTCGGCCGCCAAATTATCAAACAAAAACACTTCGAAAGCTAAAATATCGGGTGCTCACTGCCGAAGAATCGGTGACGGACTATTTCTACGACAAATGCCGTCTTCTGCGAGCGGTATTTGGTGATGATGTCAACGATCATACAATGGTATCTGATATAGTCGATGGTCTACCGAGTGATCTTAAAATGTTTGTTCTCACTCGTGTCACACCAAAAACAAGTGTGGAAGAACTTCGTCGTATTCTCATCGACTTCGACTCGGTTATGAGAGAAAGCGTTGGTGATAATATTCAGGTTGAGAACCAGAAACCAGCACATAAGCTCAAAGAGGATCATCCACAATCCCGACCTCGAGATCAAAACAGATTCAACACAATTCCTCCTACTCCATGTCCCATATGCCGTGGATCACATTGGAAAAACGAATGTCCGCATAGGAAGAAGGTGGATGCCACGTGATGGGACATCACTTCTCGTAGCGGAAGAGTAGTTGTAACGGTACGAAAAAGTGAAGAAAGAAGTTAGCGCCATGACTTTGGATAGTGACAAAAAATATTCAAATATAATCAGTTTCTGCCTTTTATTTAGTAAATTCAGTTCAATCTTTTTTTTCTCATTTCATCCTCGTTTCTTTCATTCATCACTTCATACATAACGTTCCGTTACAATATGTGTCAAATGAGATTGATGATTTTTCCTATGAACGTGGTTATAGCAATGCCACGATATTTTCACTAAAATCAACTGCAATTTCCCCGAGTGATTCATTTCACTCTTTAATTGTTCAATTAATTTCGATTGGTATCGTCTTAATAACCATTATTATATTAGTCAATGTGGGATTCAAGTTCCTTGATTCCAATATGATTTTTTCCGGTGGCACAAATACTCCATATTTTGTTAATAATGTGCTATCCCATGTTATAAACGATTCAGACTGGTTTCGGACTTTGGGGGTACCTTAGTTGATCACGATACTGACAGGCAGCAGGTGGACGATTCCTGCAAAAATGGAACGAACCATTGGATTCCGTATACGGCATTGAACAAAACATGGATGATACGGCACTCAGCATTCGTATATAGTAACATGGTGAAAATGAAATCTAAAAATGATGTAGGACGACAAACGACCTCGTGACGTGGCAACGCGAGATTAGACTTAAACAGACGGTTCACAAGAACAACCGCAAAACATGTAACTTATATTATCGATATGATTGGCTGATGATGAACGAGATTTAATTACTAATGATTATGACCTGATAAAATTAAACGACAACACAATCACCGTCCATTAACATCATCAAGCAAGATTGTGACGTGGCAACACAAGTCTTGGTGTAGAACAGAACTTTCGATAACACTCATCTGTTCCTCAATCAGGTGAACTGCTCTTCCTTTTGCTTATATTTTTTCGCATTCCCAGCTATCTGTTGTTCCTCTTTTTAAATTTTTCGATGCGCGGGACGCGCATCTTTGTTGTAAGGGGAGGTGTTATGATCTTCACCTTCGGTTAGATCATATCATCACTTCTCCTATTCTTCTTATAAAATACATATATATACTGTTGTGCGTTATTCTCTATGTTCTGGGATTTTCCCCATATGTAACTTTCTCTATTCTGTTTCTTTCCTTTCTTTTGCATGATGGGTTATCTCCCTATTCTGTCTGGGGAANAATAAAGTGTGAGTGTATCAGTTATATGCATCTTTGGATATTAAAAGGTGAATTCAGAAGAAATCACAATATAACATTTGTTCACTGACCAACGGACAAGAAAACAAGGCTTACAATTACTTCTGTTTGTTGTCAATAAATATAAAAGAAAAGAAAAGAAAAGAACCGTAATCGCAATAACCGTTTGAACGGTTATTTGAAAGTCACATTCTGAACAACTTTTACAGCTACATTTTTGCACCAAAATGCTACCTTTTTAAACAGCTACGGAGAACGTTTCCCTCAAACTACTTT